CAAGTACTGTTAAGATGACAGACTCGTCCATAGCTACACATTGGTATGACATTGTTCAAGCACGAAATTATTTTAGTTGGACGTTTCTCACTAAATCTTTTATTTTTTTTCTAGTCGATACGGGACGTTATTCTCATCTGCCCTCGAACTTTTGATAGAAATCATGGAATCCTCTAAGAAATGTCGTCTTCTATTGATCGAAGCTGGTGCTGTTTGCATCATGATCGACCTTCTTCCTGACTCGAACCGATCGAAGTGCGAGAAAATATTACACGTACTCAAACTTCTAAGCGATTGTGCGGAGGGACGGTTAGCCATGGCGGAGCATATCATGGGAATAGCGACGGTGACGAAGAAAATGAGTACATCAAATACAGCTACAAAAATTGGGGTGAAAATCTTATGGTTGATATGCAATTATCATCCTAGTGAGAGGGTTTTAGAGGAGATGATCGGTTGTGGCACAGTGAAGAAGCTGGTAGGGATCTTGAATGGCGATGGAAGATCTTCTTCAACCAAGGAGAAGGCCATGAAGATCATGAAGCTTCATGGGAGTTTTTGGAGGAGATTTCCTTGTTTTCCTTATGAATTTAGGGATTATTTTAAGTTGATAAATTAATAGAATTTATGTTCGATTGGGTTTTCGGGATTTTCGTTAGGTTAAACTATATGTCCCCGAACCTCCAAGATCGTATCTACTCGATTTTTGAACTTTAGGTTAACAGGGTCTCTAAAGTTTAAAAATATCGAGCAAGTCCTTTACCTTTACGGTCATGTCTATTAGTGTCAAGTTAAGATCGTAAACTTTCAAATTTCTGTTAATAGGGTCTCTAAAATTTTTGAACTTTCAAAAGTGTCTCGCTAAGATCTTAAACTTTCAATTTGATGTGGAATATGGTCTTTAAACAACTTGTAATTAATTTTTTTCTATGTAACAGCCGAAACCCACATTGAGGCTGACGACAATACGTAATGGGCTGAAGTGGAGAATATCTAATAGTGGTGGGGGTTAGGCTGTTACAAATGGTATCAGAGTCATGCATCGGTCAGTGTGCTAACGAGGACGTTGGCCCCCAAGGAGGTGAATTGTGAGATCTCACATCAATTGGAGAGGGGAACGAAACATTCCTTATAAGGGTGTGGAAACCTCTTCTTAAAAATCGAGAGGCTGACAGCAATACGTAACAAGTCAAACTAGACAATATCTACAAGCGGTAGACTTGGACTATTACGAGGAAATAAATATAGATAAAATATTGTTATTTAAAAAAATATATATATATAGATATATATATATATATATATATATACTCTAGGGTTCTTGGCCAATCAAAAGTCTTCCCATAGTTCTTGAAAAGATGAATGTTTTATTTATTTATTATTTATTTTCTTTATCCTTCTTGAGATCTTCATGGGCACACAGTTTGAGTTCTTTGTCTCCTCCCACATGGAAGCTTTTGTTTTCCCTCCTCTCTCTTGCAGCCCTACTTTAATGTTGGATACTCAAGGGACCATTTAGGTTTACAAGGCTAATCTTATTAATTCACATGGGAATCCACGTGCCTCACGTTACTTGAGTCGAGTACCTATCGTTCATATTACAACACTTTATTATTAGGTATGACACTTAAATTAGAAAGGGAAACCGAAACCTCTCCCTAGCATACACGTTTTAAAATCGTGAGGCTGACGTCGATACGTAACGAGCCAAAACGGACAATATCTACTAGTGGTGAGTTTGGGATGTTACATTTTCTTTCCTGCAATGTCTAGGAAAGATTAATCTCATCAATGCATACCCTTGTATTAATGAAAACCCATTCGAAAGATGCTAAATGGGACGACTCTATTTCTCGGGATTTGCTTTATGTTAATGAACAATCATATTTAAAGCACGATGCTAACATACAGAGAATGATTCGTTTTTAACGTTTTCAAAATGGTCCTTTAAATCTCGTCCATTGAGAGTGACAATTTCACTGGAAGCTATCTTCCACGGAGAGTGACAATTCCACTGATAACTAATACAATATTAGCTGGTTGGAGTTGTGTTTTTTAATGTAAACTAGTAAGAATATTAATAATAATAATGTCGATAGCAACGTTACACTAAAATCCACAATTCTCATTAATTTTTTTAATGTAGATTAATCAATAAAATTGGAATATTAATAATGAATTAAAAATAATACAGCTGACCTGTCCACTATGAGGATATATCCACTCAACTGCCCGATCTATATTATTAATAAATCATATTTTCCAACACATTGATCGATCCTTGGTAGCACATGAGAAAAAGGTATGAAATGGTTTTTTTTTTTTTTTTTTTTGCTAAATTGCAACTTTTAGAGGTCGGATGGATCAAGTACGGACTCTAAAAACATGTAAATTTCACCTTTTTTAGTAGTCGTTGTCCTCCCCAACCTGATGTCGTGAACGGTCCACTTCCTTAAATGAGAATTGGTCTTCCCGATCCACAAAAATTGTTCGTTGCCATTTACTTGTTTAGTTGCATCTGTTTGAGGGCATCCCTCCCTTGAACGAAGATGAACAGAGACTTATTGGGACGTCAAGGTTGGATCTTGGCCTTCACGCTCATTTATCCATGTCATTATTTTTTGTCTTTTTTGGTCGAGAATGTCTAGCACAACCAAGAAAGGTACAATTTATTAAACACGATCTTACTAAGGCGGGTTTGTGATGAATATATTTAGCCTCAAATTGGAAAACATAAAGATTACATATAGAAAATCATATAAATATTTATTCTTAATTTATTTTTCATCTTTAATGTCGAGAAATTAGAAACCAATGGAGCAATTAGTCACATTTTATCATTGATTAAAATTAAAATTTGATTGATTTACTCTATTGTTTGCTTAGCCAATAAGAAAAGAACAAGCATAAGATTAATAAAGAAGTAACCATGAATAATAGAAAAAGAAAAAAAAAAAAGAAAAGGAAAAAGGTTATTTTTTTACAATTTAATAATATTCCTTTACAAAAATAAATTTCAAATAAAAATTTATTCTTATTCTCCTCCCCGTTAAATTTTAAATTTGTGTCTAGAAAGTTTTTGAACTCGAAATGGTTGGAGAGGGAAACAAATGATTCTTGTAAGCGTGGAAACCTTTCCCTATCAAATGTGTTTTAAAACATTGAGGTTGACGACGATATCTATCAGCGGTGGGTTTGGGCTGTTATAAATGGTATCAGAGCTAAACATTGGGGGGTGTGCCAACGAGGGATGCTAACTTCAAGGGGAGTGGATTGTGAAATTCTAACCGACACGTTTTAGAATCGTAAGGCTGACGGTTATATACAGCGGGTCTAAAAATTTATGAGTTTAATAAAGGTTGATGATTAATATAAAAATGATATTATATATTTTATAATGTGAATGCCATTAAATAAATAACCACCCACCATAGTGGAATTCATAATCCCACAAAAAGAAAAAAAGAAAAAAAAGAAAAAAAAAATAGTGTTCATAGCATTGAACGAAGCTAAAGCCAAGGGCCGCTTACGGTAAGCACGTGTGAAGCATAGTAATTAATTTATCAAAATATTTAAGTCGAATTTATAGTATAATGTCACCGTCATACTAAGAAAAGAGTAGGTTGTGACTCTCGTATAATGATAGACAAAACGATGACTCTTATGTGGTGCTCATTCAGCTACGTGAGAGTTAAGATAGACAAGTGTCTTAATACGACCGTAGAAGACAATGCATCATCTAACATACTAAAGAGACGTGCGTTGAAATTAAGATGAGACATAAGAAAGATGGAGGCAGCAAGTAGACGAGAGGGACAAAGATAGGCTTAAAGAGATGGTTACGACCCTAAGCCTTAATCTCGAAAGTTGGATTTCGGAAGAAATTTGGGCATGCCCGACTCTAGATATTTAAGTTCGTCCATATGAAATATGAATACTCGTCAAATTTGGTGTTTGATTGGACACCGAACAGACTCACCATGAGACCATATCACTATTGAATTAGATCACAAACTCTAGGTCAGTTCAATTCTAATTGTATCTTTCTCATTGTTAAAACCCTAAACTCTAATTTTATATAATTCTCGTAAAGCACATACCTGTTACCGTAAATTAAAGCATCACTCAACTAATTAAAGTATATCTAAACAACTAAAAATAGAGATGTTCGTTTAACTCGTAAAGTCAGAGCCTTGTGAGGACTCAACTTGTCGAGGAATGAAGTGAGGAGAAATTTCTCTCCGTTAGTTAAACGAGGCCGAAGATGAGAATTATATTATTTGTTCCCATCCTCGTGTCCACCCAATTTTCGTCCGCCACCATCCCCCTATTTTACTAAACTCGTTCCTCTATCATTATACTAAATTTTATTAACTAGGTTGAAATTACTGCATATTCTTTTTTTCTTCCAACATTTCTAAAGTAAAATCGAATGAGTAATTTAGTATAACGACTCATACCTAGGATTCAAATCAAGATTCAGAATTCGGGTTCTGTACTTGATGGCCCCGATATTCCCCTACGACATGGTCACATTACATACTCTTTGCTTCTTCAAAGTGAAAAACTATCCTCAAATACTAACACGAGTTCTTTCATCATGCTTTATTCTCACTCATATGCAACCCCAGAAAAACGCTTAACATAGACATAGAATTGCTCTAAGTAAAAACGCTTAACTCATGAAGTTCCTATAATTGAGTTACCAAAGACATAGAATTGCTCATAGGTAGTAACTTTCCTTCGAGCATTTCTTAGTCATTCTATCCTCAAGATTGCTCTCATTCCAATGTGATATCGATTCATTCATATACTCCTCATTTACTCAGATGTAGAACAAAACAACAAATATCAGATTTTACGATGACAAAAAAACATTTCTAAAGACGGATAAGTATCACTATAAGCTTTCAGTGACAGAAGAAACGTCGCTAAGAAAAACCAACGTCACTATAAACTTTCAACAATCGGAACAAAAAAAAACGAGGTAGAAAATGTCGGTACAGGTCATTCGGTAATTATAATTAAACATTAAATCAGACAATTTGATGAAGTTTATAGCACAAACAGGCAAAGATGAAGGCTAAAGAAGAAGAAAGAGAGGGATTTAGGGCTGAAAATTATTGGGATTGAACAATAAGACACAATGGAACACATGAATTTGCAGTTCATCCTTCAACCAAAAAATTGATTCTGATTTGGCATATTCATAGGCAGATTTAGAAAGGGCAAACCCGAAGATCCGTCGGGAAAAGGGTTGTCGTGGCCATCACCGCCCCCGCCCCCGCCCTCGCCTCCATCTCCGTCACCACCAGCTGCAGGCATCGACAATTCTTCTTCATCCAACGGTAGCCTCTCGTATGCAACGTTACTGAACGACGATGCTATAACGATAACAGGCCCCGACGCAATCAAAGCTCCCACGACATTCCCTCCGACCACCTTGTTAAGAATAAGTATAAAAGATTAGATTTATGGATGAAAATTTTGAATCCCACCCACCCTTCCTATAATTATAATTCGTGTATCCAAAGATAAAAAAAAATTAGGTTAAACTTTTGAGTTGAGTGATAATTTAACTTACTTGTCCTTGACCTCCGGCCAAGAAAATCGTGAGACTAGTAGCACCTGGTGGAGCAGGTGGTGGTAAGAATGATCCCGATAGGGACAAAATCTCAAACCTCCCTTGTAACGTCAACACGGATCCAGCCGCAGCCGGTTGTCGTAAGCTAACATTATTCACTATCCCACTTCCACTCAACACACAGATCCCCCGTTGTCGCCGTCGCGCATAGCCAGCCACAGCCTCGAACACATCATATCCGCTACCGATTTCCAAGATATGAGCTCGGAGGGTATTAGCGCTCTCGCGCGTGATGATCACGGGTGGCTTTGGCTTGTTCTTGGACCCGGCTGGGCGACCCCTAGGTCGACGAACCATAGCATCTCCGCTACCACCGGAGCCGCCGCTGCCGTTGAAGTGGTTGAGATTGGTGACATGATCGGAGCTGGGCGGCGAATCTAAGTGGAGATCAGGGCGTTGTTGAAGCTGGTCAACAAAGTGAGAAGCTGAGCCTAAGTTTAAAGTAGCCATAAACAGAAGAAAATGAGAGAAACTTAAACACTCAAAGATGAACAGGAAAAAACCAGGGGTGAAAAAATAATGTAAAATAATAAAAGGGACAGCAATATAATTTTTTATTTTATTTTAATTTTTTTGAAAGAGATTAATTAATATAAAATTATATGGATTTGTGTGAGAGAACAGAAGAGCAGATGAGTCCCATGTTGAAACCCTAGAACAAAGAGAAGAGAGAGAGAGAGAGAGGGAGGGCATTATGATAAAAGGCATAAATAAAAGTGATTATTATTATAATACAAAGTTTAAATACCTAAAATTACTATATAATATAATTGTGGGTTTTGGATATATTATAATGTTTGATGTCACAAGTGGGCTTATTATAAAGTTGAATGTTTATCTCAATATAATTACACCCATACCACAACACTTTGCAATGCTTTATAAGTGGAATGGTTATTCTAAACCAACAACATCATGACGGGTGTAAATTATTTGGTGACATGTTTCAGAGTAATTTTAACTTTTTTTAAACTGTTCAAACTACTTTTGTCACGTAAAAATCAGGGAAACGAAGCGTTTTTATAAGGGTGTGGAAACCTCTCCCTAACAGATGCGTTTCAAAACCGTGAAGCTAACGGTGATACGTAACGAGCTAAAGTGGATAATATCTCCTATTAAATTAGGGTTTTTTTTATTTTTTAATAGCGAGTTGTTTGGTTTTATTCAATGATTAAGCCAACAACTCTTGAATCTAATGAAGAAGAAACAACAAATGGACCAAAGGGGGAATTCCAAATAGGGAGATTAGGGTTTTGATTAAATATTAATTTTTTAAATAAATATATTTTAATCAAATATTAGAGATAATTATTGAGTTCTCTTATGTATATTTGTTATTATTTTTTTTAATGATGTTGTGTGGGTTAGGTCACAACTTTTCTTATGAAATCTATATTCTAACAAAGGTGTCAATTTTATGTTACATTAATTAAGTTTGTAAAGAAATTAAAGGCATAATTTGTCACTTGAAATATATTGTTTTTTTTTTTTGGCTAAATTGTTCGAACAATTATAGGTTGTTTATGGGTCAGGTTGATTATTTATTTATTTATTTTTGATAGACTTTATAATATAAATAAAATGTGACTCATAGAAGACAATATTATTAAATATCATATTACTATTTATTTATTCAACTTCAACGACCTTAATGGATAGTGACTTAATTTGTAAAGATCTAAATACTTTGAAACAAAGGGTCCAATTGAAGAGAATATAGCTTTGGGCCAAGCCCAAATATATATATATATATATAAATATATATAGCTATGAAATATCGATCATTCGACTTTAAAAATGATATACTCGTATTAGTAATGTTGTATATTAATGATCAATGATTAAGAAGAACTAAGAAGTTGTTCGTACATTTTAAAGAAGTTGTTCGAGCATTTGACCTCTTGATTGAATTACATATTTTAAATCAGTTGAATTATACTCTAGTTGATTCACATCATTATGATATTATAACTAGTTTTGTAAGAAAAAAATGGTGTGGTTTGATAAAATTATTAAATAATTAATCAAGCTTAAATTCTATGAAAAAAAAACTATATGCATTATTATTGAGTGTTATATAAGTTTTTTTTTTAAAATATAATTAATGAGTTATAATAATAGAAGTAATGGCTAATAGACAAGATCCAAACTCAATGGATCAATCATGTTTTGTTGTTTTCTTTAAGGATGCCTTTCATGGTATATCCATTAAAGATTCTCTCTCTATTTTATTTATTTATATATATATATATATATATAGATATTATTTCAAACTCCATTAAATATAAAATTTAATTTTATACCTAATAAATTATTTAATTTTAAAAATTTTCAAATATAAAATATTTAAATTAATAATTAAATAGATATAAACGGGATTAAAGTTTGTAATTTAACCCTAAAAATCCTCTCTCGCACATGTTTCTCTGTCCACTTTGACTGTCAAATAGAACAAATTGTGATTTATACACCAAAAAGTGATCACAAATATAGAAGTAATATATCAACTATCTATGCTTCTAACTTTGACCATCGAACTATCCACTCCTCTTAATCGCTCAAGTTCTTTGTTAACATATATTGTCTACTTTAGCCCGTTATGTATTGTTGTTAGCCTTCCAGTTTTAAAACGTATCTGTTAGGGAGAAGTTTCCACGCTCTTAGAAGGGTTGTTTTGTTTCTCTCTCCGATGTTGGATCTCACAAGGACCATTGAAATGATTAGTTAAGCTAAATTATCAATCCTAAGTACAGCTAAATGAAAAAGACATGAACGACGACGAAAAGCGAATCGAACTTCTTCCTGGATTTCAATATCTGTACATTATAATCTCGATCATCGAGTTTTACAATACCCACTAAGGAAACGATACTAAAAGTTTGAGGAAATGTAATTTGGGGAAGACCCAAATGAATTTGATGGGATATTTTTAAGCTAAAACTTGAAAATAATTAGTGGGTTTATTTGTTTAAGCAGCTACTTGGTGTTGGTTTTGATGATGGGAAGCTTCATCTTCTTCAAAGCTCAAATGGGAAGCTTTATTTAGTGATGTTTCTGAAGAAGTTAATAGAGAGTTACTAAGAGGAGGTTTTAGTTGAAGCATCTCTTTGTGTAAACAAGAGCAATAGGTGTGGAATGTGTTGGGTGTCACATTCAAGTGAAACCCTAATCCAAAGAGGAAATCCACTTCAAGAAAGTTTATTTCTCTTGTGCTGATCCCTCCAACTCTTGCATAGAAACCATTGTTGTAACACCTGAAAACGAAAACCAACTTTTCAAATTATAATGTCCGTTTTGGTCCGTTACGTATCGTAATCAGTCTCACGCCTTTAAAATGCGTTTACTAGAGAGAGGCTTCCACGCCCTTATAAGAAATGATTCGTTCCTCTCTCCAAGTAATATGGAATCTCACGAACCACCCCCTCTTGGGGAACCAACGTCCTCGTTGGCACACCGCCTGTGACTGGCTCTGATACCATTTGTAACAGCCCTTGCCTACTACTAGCATATATTGTCCGCTTTGGCTCGTTACGTGTCACCATCAACCTCATGATTTTCAAACGCATTTACTAGGGAGAGGTTTCCACACCCTTATAAGGAATGTTTCGTTCCCCTCTCTAATCAATGTGGAATCTCACAATCTACCCCCTTCTTGGGGACCCAACGTTCTTGTTGGCACACTGCCTAGTGGCTGGCAGATATTATTCGCTTTTACCCATTATGTATTGTCGTTAGCTTCATGATTTTCAATGCGTCTACTAGGAAGAGGTTTCCACACCCTTATAAGGAATGCTTCATTCCTCTCTCCAACCAATGTAGAATCTCACATTTTGGTATACCCTCTAAAGATTTAGATTCAATTATCACGGAGTTTCAGAGTTTCAGAGGTTCTTAAATATTATAGGTTCATGCACGAATCTTATGAAATTAGTCGAGATGCATATAGATACTCGTAACACAACGAATGGAGGTCCTAAAACTCAATTATTACTGTATATTACAAAAAAGGGGGGAAAAGAGAGAAGAAAATTAAACTTACAGATCATCCATGAACTTGGCAGCAACAAGAACACTTGTAATGAGCAAACGATGAACATTAAAGGAGTTGATAGGCAACAATGGCTGCCTTTGAGCAAAGCGGTCAAGATAAACATAAGCAACAATGAAGCAAGAGTTGCTACAATTGGCATACTTGAAGATCCTTTCAAGGTAGGTATGAAGAGAGATAGATGGGCGAGTCAAGCCATGGAACGCCGAGTTCTTCTGCGTTTCGATGGCCGAGTCATCGTCCACGAGATCGTCGTTCGACTCGGCCACTCTTTGAAGCACAGAAGAGAGGAAAGTGATGAGCTTTGGCATCATGGAGGAGCTTTCTTCTTCCACCATTGAAGAAGGAATCCTCTCAGTTTTTCTTTGGTGGGTTCGCTGTAATGTGTGTAAAGTTTTTTGTTCTGCTAAATGTCTTGCTGTGTCTATGATTGAATAAATATAAAGAGGAACTGAGGGTAGTGGGTGCAATGAGGTGGGGCACTTCTGGTATCTACAATAATATGGAGGAGAATATTTCACTCCATTTCTTATTCTTTTTTTAGAGAATAGTTTTTAAAAAAACATATTATAATCTTTGCCAAAATTTTAAATCTCGAGCATTGAGTGATTTTGCATCATGAAAATTGTAAAATCGTGAACAATCCGAGGTGATTTGAGCCTGCAACTTATAAAGAAAAACATTACCAAGTGATTGTTTAAGTATGTCAAGAAAACTAATCAAAAGTTCGAGTTTTGAAAATATTTTAACAATTTACACTCGAGAATCCCTTTTTTTTTTCTTTTTTTCTTTTTTTCCTTTTCTCCCACTAAGAATATAATGTGACAAATTTTATTACAAATATCAACAAGATAGATAGCATGTGGTTGATTTGATGAAGGGGCCAAATAGCTTATGTCCTTTTATAGGGACAATGAGATTGGTTCCTTTTGGCACAAAAGTTAGAAGAAATTGAGTAGGGGCAATGATTTTTCTATCTCATACTTTTGGGCATTTCCCAATTAACATAAAGAACGAAGAAAATTGGTGTCATTTTCTTTTGGTTGATTTTTATGTTCTAAATGGTTATAGCTTCTCATGTGCATACCATGTGAAATATTTTCATTCATATGGATTCCTCACCCTTTTTTTTCTCTCTTTTGAAATGGAATCTTGCATGTGTAGTGGATTTAAATCAAACTAGGTGACATAACATGGATTTGCTATGTTGGTCCAAAGCATTAGAATATTGTTCTCTCTTTTTTTTTTTTTTTTTTGTTCCAATACTATAGTAAAGGGTCCCCAAATTTTGGGTTTCGAGGTCAAATTATAGATATTTTGTTGAGTACGAACATATTTGACTCCCTTTAATAGTACATTGTGACGATAAATTCAACCTCCAAAATCTGTGAAGAGATATGATTAATAGAGTGCTAGTTTAATTGTCTAAGCACACTGAAGATGATAGAAAATATGATCGTACAAATATTCGTCTTAGTATGAGAAAATATATGAGAAAAGAAAAGTGAAAGTAAATATTGGTAAAAGTTAAAAGGCACATAAATTTTCTTATCTCGAGAGAATAAGTCGGCTGAGACATTGATATTTTTTTTATTTTTTGAAGGGAAGACAAAACTTTGAAGTAACATAAATTTATACCACAAAAAGATGAAAACCCACTATACAAGGAACCTACACAAAAGAGGCACCTTTTGACAATGTTAAAAAAGAACTTCAGCTGTTGAGAATAAGAGAAAAAGTAGTTTAGGACATTGAGGCTCATAGGGAAATGTGAACCTTGGTCATAGCCTAAATCTTTCTAACACCCTTTCTAAATTGTGCAGTAACCAAATCTTATTAAATACTCTCGATAAAAATTTGTGTCCATCACCAAACAACCAAGATTTGTAATGCACCAAACATACAACAAGGATCTCTAAGGAAAATATGTATCTAAATTAAGTACACACTGACAATCTCATTCAACATGATCGAAATTCAACTGGCTGTTTAAAAATCTTCTAAAGAAAAATCAAAAAGTTCAACTTCAACTACATGCATGCAATTAAAGAAACATAATCAAATTTGTGTGTAAAGCATTCAAAGGAAAAGAGGCATAATCAAATTTGTGTGTAAAGCATTCAAAGGAAAAGAGGCATAGTGGGGGAAAAGGGGGGAAGGGAAATGGTGAAAGCTTGGAATGAGGAGCAAGTTGAAGAGGTGGCGGCGTGTGTGCAAATGGGAGTTGGAGTGAAGCAAAAGGGAAAAGATTATAATGTCTTTTCTAAGAGTTCAGGAACAAAACAAAACAAAAATGGATATATTAAAAAAAAAAGGTTAGTGTCTCTATGGTGAAGCCTAGCATTGTGTTTCCAACACCATGTGGTGCCCATGTGAAATGAGTTCAATCCATCATCTACAACCCTATTATATTCTTCTATAGCTTTCCACTGCAATCCATTGCTTGAAACCATATAAATAAATATGACAGATAAAAGAGAGAGCAAAATGAATGGCTGTTCATCATTTTAACATAAATGAGAAGAATACCCTTCATCAAAAAAGCATGAAAGAGGCTTCCCAACTTAGCAAATGCATCAACTTGCCAGAAAGGGGAAAAAATAGAAAAGAGAAGAGAAGGATGTGTTAGCGTCTTAATTATCAGACAATGACCCAACAAATGATAAAACTATATTGCAATATCAAGAAAAATCATTAATATCATATAGCTTTTCAAGAGGGTTGCCTCTCTCCCACACCGCAATCCACCCACTATATTATACTGAATAACCAAAATATGACTTGTCTTCATTAACTCTAACTCCCTATATCTATTACTACTAAGTCCTCTAGCTAATTATCATATATCATTCCAATATCCTACTAAAATTCTCAATATATCCCTTAATAATACATATTTTCCTTTTTCCATCCTCATTTTCTACTTGGAAACTTTCAAATATGTTTTTTAGGTTCCACTACTCAGAGTTATTGAAACAGTGATATTAACTCTGTATATTGCTATGATATTATTTTTTAAGGCTCGACATGTATGAAATTACTTTTTCTTTAATAAGAAAGTATGTTAGTAGCATGTCCAATAAAAGGAGAACCCAGGGGCAGGGGAATCTTTTTTTATCTATAGGAAGAAGTGTTATGAACAGAGCAAAAGGACAACCCAAGGTTGAGGAAAGAGGAAACCCTGCACAAAATAATCAGAAATAATCACACAATGAAACATCAATTACTGACCTCTAAAGTCGAATCCCTAACAATCTTCTTCCTAAACAAATATCCATGACATTTAAACATTAATAATTATATTTAGATCAAGTTAACGTATATGTTTAGTATAGTATGTATACATAGTTTCAATTAAGAATCAACCACATTAATGTTAGCTTATACGCACCACGACTATTCTCACATATTTGACCCACTACATTTTGTTGCCAAGGTAGCCATAGGAAGTAGAATCTTAAGTAGGCATGGCTTGAATCATTCCCTCTAAACTCTATTATTTACCTGGCCTTTATTGACCACTTGGCTAACCCATGGTACTTAAAAAACAAACTTGCAGCTTAGTCATTACAAGACATCCAAATATAAAAGTTTAATCCAAATCAAATCTCAAGTTTTCAGAAACTTTTAGCCATCGACATGCAAACTAAACATATAAATCTCCATCTTCTACAAAGTGTGCAAAATAAAATACGACAGAAAATACCAGCCAATAGCATCCACATCATAGTAAATTAGTAATCCAAAAATGTATGCATAGAATTAAATAGAAAAGATCCATAAACTCATGCTTGCTTCTGTGTGCGGCAATTCATGAGGCTGACAGAGGTTAGTTTACAGAAAACATAATAATTACAAGCATCTAGAAAAGGAAATTGAAAGTGTTGTACAAGAACCAGTCAACTAATTGATCAATAAGGCGCCCGTTCTTCTAATTTAATGCAACTCGACTACATTCATGAACAGGTTTCATAAAGTTTAATTGATGGTAACTTCTATATGGAGAACAAGGAGAAGGATACATTACTTTACATCAGCATCCTGGCCAATTTTTATGCAAGAGATCCATATTCTCAGAGTTACCATGAACATAAACTTTTGGTTCTGTCACCTGCGTGTAAAATAAATACAGTCTAAGAAACATCCAGAAAATGTATGGGGACAATTTTACATATGAAATTAAGGACATCCAGTCATTCAAGAGCAAGTTCTGTACCACTAAAATAGGTGGAAATCCAATATGAAGGCGCAACCTCGAAAACCCGCTTACAGAAAATAAGCAATCAAATCCGTCAATAACTGGATGCTCACTGAAGAAGTATAGCAAGGGATCACATAAACGCTGTTAGCTAATAAACACTTTCTTTTTACGGGTGTATAGAACACAGATATATATACGAGTGCTAACAAGTTCCAAATTTTAGGATGAAAGGTGTATGCACATTATACAGGAGGGGTGAACTGAGTGTTTAAAAACATGATACTTTAGTTGCTTCGTTAGGACGAGGAAGAACTCACTTCACAATATAGGTAAAGTTTCTCAGGCGAAGTTCTTTCAATGGAATATCTTCTTCCTTGGAATACCTGTGTTACATACAGTGCTCTGTTAACAGTTAAACTACATCGATGAATTAGGTGCACAGCAAGATCATTGAATATACTTGGAGACCATTGTCTTTTCTTAACTTCCTATATTAGATTTTTAACGAGAAGTAGTTCTACAAAAAGGTCTAACACGAATACAGCATATGACACCAAAGTGCACCAAGATTGAAATTGTAAATTTCCAGGAATAAATAGAAAAAAATAATTAAAAGTTGAAGAACCCTGGTCTTTACCTTCAATAAACATGATGAAAAGAAGAAAAATGAAAACAACATCATAGTTATCAGAAGTTTCACTTTTCTTAGTTAGAAGCACACTTTCCGTATGTTCTGTTTCTTATTACGTTCTAAAAAATTCATCTCATGTAAGAAGTTATTCACAAGACATTAACCTGTTCAAGGCCAGCACAACATTACCTCCATGGAAAATCATTTTCACAAAAGCGTGAAATTCCATTCATGGCTGAAAATGAATCAATATGAACCCACTGCTCATCAGAGTTGGATAGACGACCTGTTCAAGGTGTTCAACATTTTGTTGAGAAACGTATGATTAAAAAATGAAATAATGGAAATGATATAAGGAAAGAAAGTAAACTAAAGTAGACTAGTGGAGGCAAATAGTAAGAGATGAAAACCAGAGTGATTGAGAAAAGAGAAAAGGAAGATAAGGGTCCGGATAATAATAATCAGAGTAGACACTACAAAGATGGGTATTCTACCATGGAGAAAAAAATGGAACCTATAACAAAGAATGTATAACCAGGGTACTTCACACATTCACAAAGAATTGGGGATATGAAAGACTCACCAATTCGATGCAAC